AAAGGAGTCCAACAGAATCAAGTCTTTATATTAGAGATTTCATGTAAAAACCTTGAGTTCGTTAAGTTGGTTCTGTACAGGATATATTTTTCTGTTCATCTGTAAACTGGCTGGAAAGACCTTTTCCTTCCTCCTTTCAAACTCTAAGGTTTTTTTTGTGTGTGTGTAATTTAGAGAAAGACATGGGAGAAACATATATATGCTTAGAAACTGGAAGGAAGAAATACTAAGAACTGATAAAAGAGGATATGTGCAATGCTGTCCAACCTGGAAAGAATCTATCAAGAAACTGACAGACTGGAATTACAGAGTAAATTTAATTAATGGATCTTTGGTTAGAAAATATATTTCAGCCCATGGAAATTGCTTGAAAATGTGTGAATTATTACATTTAAATAAAAAAAATCTTTTTGCATTAAAAGTCAAGAGAAAACTGGTATTTCGGAAAAAAAAAAAAAAAACACCCTGTCATAAAAACATCTAAGTACCAGATACTTAACCATTTATGCCTGCTAATAGTGTAAGAATGAGGTTTCAAGTGGGTACACTAGAAGACCCTGAACTATAGCTGTAGAAGAAAATAAATGGCACTCCAACTGCAACAGTCAATGCTAAATATTATTCATACACTTAGAATAGCACACATTTAAAGAAACATCTGTTCTTTGTCATAAAGTTGCTTTCAGTTCTTCTTTGCCAAAGAGCTTTAGCTGAAAATCTTTGTTAATGCAAAAAAGTGAAGTGACATTCCACTACAGTCAAATATGTATTTGAGATCTCTTTATACAATAGATTTCCTGGAAAGAACACTGTGGGAGTATATTTGGATTCTAAATGATAAAAATATCTACTTGTTTAGAACATCAAGAACGACAAAAAAGGCAAGATAAAATTCCTAAGATTTGAGTGTTCTTCACCTTGAGATTTACTTGAGTTTTATTTTTGCACTTCTAATTTAATTTAAAGACACAAGGCACTAATTACCTTGAACTACTTTTGTGATGAAACACTTTCTGGCTTATCCTTGATCAGGGCAAGAACTATCACTCCAGTGCAAATGATTCAGGTTTTGATTTTAGAAAGACTTCAAAACTAAGCCTTCATAAAACTATAGTAACCTCTTTTTAGTTCATTTGATCAAAGAAAACCAAAAGCATACTAAAGAACAGAACATGTTTACTTACAGTTAATATTTTTTCCCTACCAGTATCCATTTTGATCATAATTAGGGACAAAAGTACAAAGTCTATTATATTTTAAGTGTCTTGTCACTTCTGGGAGAACACAGACTCTGAGACACAATTAGATATTTCACATAAGTTCACAAACTCCTAGTAACAGCATACGACCAATTCCTCCATAGCCAACATTTCCTACATGCACCTAGTTGATCATGCTGGGCAGAACATCAGCAAAAAGCTGGGATTTTGGTCTTTTCAAATAAAAGTCTTGCACCCTGAAGCACAAAATGCAGTTTACCTGAACATATACAAATATAATATAATTCATGCCCAAAGCACCCAAGTACCTCCTACATTTCTTCCAAGGATACTAAACTTGATGATTTCTTACAGAATGGATTACACAATCCACAAAGTAATCTTGCCATCCATATGTTCAGTTTCAGGTTTCATCTCTACATCATTCCCTTGAGGATGAGGACATTAAATACATAATCCCACTCCAACTTGTGAAACATCTCAAAGTTCCACCTTCCCAAACATGGGTGTGATATCATAACATCAGTTCCATAGGGTCAACTCCAGGAAATGCTCCACTGAGAACAGCTCATAGGATGCAGAAGCCTGCAGTTCTCAGCACCTCAGTGTGGGCCTGTTCTTCCTATTCTCCCAGCTTCTAAACCTTCCTCTAGGATAATAAAATTTGTCACTATACTGACTCTATACTTTTACTCCTTATTTTGATCTCCACCATTCCCCCTCTTTTTAATTTAAAAGAGAACAAAACAGTCAAGGTCGCCTCTCAAGGTTTGTTCTAATTACTCTCACCATGTCATGATTATGAGTCTGTGGGGATATAACACAAAACTCTTTCAAAACTGCAGGAAGGAAAAGATGATGGACAGCTGTGCTGATGAGGCAGACCAAATAATATTCAGACACACAGATGTCCTCCTTCCCAAGCGCAGAGGCAACTCACTATTCTCCTACATGGCTTTTACCAATTTGCTTTTATAAACTTATTTCCAGTAAGTTGACCCCACAAACAAACATGCTGTTCAAGAAGCGTGTTCCATGTTTTGAGAGGCTTATGATAAAAGATCATCAGAATATGGAAAGAACTTCAGCTTAGAAAAACAAGAATTCAAAATAATGCTAATTATTTATTCAGAAGAGAAAAGATTTCAGATGTCATAGGTGTTATGAATAAGAGAATAGATATTTGTGACAACTTCTTTTTTCCTGGGAAATAGAAAATCTTTTCTGGAGAGAAAAACAAGACAGAAGAGGCATAACTTCTTTTTTTCTTTTAGAAAAGCCTATTTTGATAATAGTTACCTATTAGATATAAGTAGAAATTCACTCTGTAATTTTTCTTCATTATGCCTGAAAATAAATACACGGCAGAAACTAAATAAGAAAGAAAGCAATCTAAAAGAAGAATCACTGAAAAAACATGTAGATCATCAGAGAGGCAATAGAAAAAAATCTGGCAGCTGCCAACAATATTAAGATTTTTTTAAAAGTGCTTAAATGTAGCTGGTTTCTCTTAGGAGTTCAGAAACTATCAAACTGTAACAGTAATATTCATGACCTTGGGGGCTGCATACAATGAAATTTTTGTGTATGGATTAAGTATTTGCAGACAGAGTTGTTACAAAGTTGGCAAAATACAAACATGGGGTGGAAATATGATATTTCCAAGCACAACCTCCACAACTGTGGGAAGTCAAAGCCACAGCCAGTTCACTTCTCCTCTTTGCACACCCCTCTCCTTTTCAAACCTAAGTAATTTTATAAATATATTAGAAGACTTCAACCTGAATCAAAGATAAAAGTTTAACTCAACAGTTGCCATTTGGCCTCAGCCTTTAATAACTTTAAATGAAGAACTTAAGAACAGTCATGCTGAGTCTGACAAAAGGTCTTCTTAGCCCAGTATTATTTATCCTTCAGTGGCCATAAACAGATACCTTGGTGAAAGGCTTTTTGACAGAAAACATCGTCCTGTTAAAATGCCTCCTTTAAATAAAAGGAAGATTCCTCTTAGTTCTTCTGGTAACTGGAAAATGTATCAGGCCCTTCGTATTATTTTAGCACCGCTATTACTTTAGCTCACTTCTGTCAGTAAACGAGCTGTTCTTGATCCTACTTTTACTAGAGAGAACACTACATTCTTAAATGGAAAACCAACAGAAATGGAAGGACTATGAGCAGAAATTGTCACAAAATGTATGACAAGCATCTTTACGAAGAAACAGACATGAAATCAGCAAAGCTATGAACTCTAGCTTCTGAGAGACTGAAGCTAACACTTGGCTGGCTTAACTGCTCAAGCCAGTCAGTAAAGTTAACCATGACAGGCCACAAAAGCAGATAGTTGACCTTTGTGTGTTAAACCTTGCTTGGGAAATCTACTAACCAGTTGCAAGCACAAAAGTTACTACAGTAAGTGCAACTTAGGCCAGCAACATGCGTAATTTAAAGTAATACTTTAATGTGGCTTCTAGTCCTTATGTTCAGAAAGATGTTACCAGTACAGTGTTTTTCCTGCCTCTACAGTCAATGCTTCTACCTTGCCCAAGCACAAAACTATCACAATTTTAGCCACTGCTTCAGCAATGTTTAGATACACACTGACCAGAAATGCTTCAGATTAGTTTTACTATTGTAAGAAAGAACTAAAAGCAATAAAAGTACTCCAGAAGAACACTACAGCTATTTTTAGAGAACATACAAAATATGGCAAGATAGAATCAGTTTCCCAGACACATACATGTTTTTCACTGGAGAAGCAGGGATAAGGTTCCTCCTTAAGGTGCCAGCCAGGACTTTGCCAATAAAGTGCTCTGGCAGGCGCACAGAAACAGCCATGACTGGTCAGCTTCAGAAAAGTTAATACAACTACAAGAAACTTCAACTTCCAGACAATTTCTTCATGCAAATCTAAAAACTGAATAACCAACAGCAGTGTAAGTTCGTACACCTCCAATATCACCCCTAAAACTGTTAAGACAGGGTCTTGCAGACCACTGAGAATGTGAAGGAGGTGGTACCCTTAATCCTACAGTTGTTCCTTGTCAGAACTCCTTCCAGGCTCAAGAAAAGAAAACAGAATGTAAGCTTTTAGAGTGAAAGAGACCTTCAACACCAGTAATTTCCATTAATTGGAAATTTCCTCTTTAATCTCTACCCCTGCTCAGGATAACTTTTAAATTGTGTGTGAATAGAACTAAGACAAAGCACTGCCAGGTCTGTCTGCCCACTGAGAACTTCCCTTGGTTTACACTTTAAGGAAATTTATGGAAATACAGTAAGATCAGTTGTAGACAAATAAACACATCTGCATATAAAATATATGCCATGTACACAGCATTTGCTCCTTCCCCATCAATTTTGGTTTTATTCAATTATCCTACCAAAATTAGACCTCCAGACAAAAGAAGCTGCTCAATGGCTGTTAAATTTCTCTGTGCTATAGCACTGATGACAGTAATTGGAGGTTGGGAGGAAGGGAAGAAAGACATTAACTTCTCGTTTAAGGACATAAAGTACTGCCTGCCTGCCCCTGCTTCCGCTTTACCCGAAAAATTTTCACAGTCACATGTAGGCTCTGTGAAAGAACAGTCACATCTAGAGTCACAGGTTCCAAAACCTCATTTTCTACAATCATCAGTGACCTACAGAGAAAATTTCACCAAATTACAGAAATATAGAACACCTTTATTAGAAAAATAACTTAATAGGTAACTGAGCTTTTTCCTCAAGCTTTCATGAAACCAACCTATAATTTGTCAAATAATAATTTAGAAATCTTACCTGCTTTTTTCTTGAAGTTTCCTTGGACAACAGTCTGGCTGACAAAACTGATGCAAATGGAGAGCAGCAGAGCTCAGGAAAAGGGTTTGGAATTGATGAGATCTCCAAAATATTGTCATCTTTCTGTTTTCTCCTAGTTCAGCAAAATACATAATATCAAACATAACAAATTGTTACACTTCGATACAAATGTATCAAATTGTAGCAACTGCTGTTGAAATTGCAGTATCCAACCACAACGCATGAAATACTAGGGCATTAATACCACAATGCTTCCTGGTTGCAGCAATTAGCTTCTTTATGCAGTTATTTTATTTAATCAGTAGGCTGAATCTATTAACATACAGTGCTTAACACTACTTGAAAGCAATCCAAGTATACAGCTCTGAATATAAAGTTGTTTGAATATGTTTAAGTCTTTGCAGAGCAGGAGCACAGTTATATTTGTATTGGCTCCTAAGGACATTAGTAAATATTTTGTTGTCCCTGTGTTCATGCCATTCCCTATGTACACATATTACAACAGTGGATGCACGTAACTTCTCAGTAATACTTCTTGAGTACATCACAACTGTATTTTAAACCGATGGAAACTTTTTTTTTCATCAGGAGTCAAAGTGACTGACAAGGCAAAATACTGCAAAGCAATACACTCCTTCCTGTTTTCAATTACTTTTGTATTTGTATCTCCATAGCTCTGTCACAAAATAAATGTCTCAGCAGTTGCTGACTCCTTAAATCTGATTGTGTCTGAAGCATCACCAAGCAGCATTTGCAAGAGTAGTGAAGATAATCACTCCTGTACTTGCTGAAGAGCTCAGTTATGCACTGATTTAAAGTATCACCTTAATAACGTGGCTGTTTAGATGGCTGTGTACGTTACAGTGCATGGTTTTCTCACAGAAAATACTCAACAGCACTTTGTCTACTTGCTTTCATTTGGACAGCAGCACCCAGTCTGCCTACATATTTTCTATATGTGTGAGTTGATGACTCCAAGCTTTGCTACCTTATTGTTATCATTCCAGATTTCACATACTAATTGGTACAATGTGGGAAAACCCATGAGAGTAAGGTAATGATGCAGAATGAAGACACTTTACTTTCTGGAAATCCTCACTGAATATTCACTTAAAGTGCTATCTAGCATTAAGGAGTGAAAAATCCCATATGCAGTATTTTAAGATTCGGCAAACTTCAGTCTACCAAAACTGATCAAACGCTTCATGAAAAGCCTAGCTCACAGTTTCCCTTACTAAGAATAGAGACCAGTGCCTTTAAGAACAGCCTCAGAGGTAGCAAACGGTGCACTTCGCTGACAGCAATTACAGCGGCATCGCTAACGGTGAAGCCGTTTATCTCACGAATATTGTAAGACAAGACACTGCAAAGAGAAAGTAAAGGCTCGGTTCGGTGTGAAAGGCAGGCTCGCCAACATCGTCTCTTTTCACCTCAAACTGGGAAATCTCTAAAAAGAAGATAAGGGGGGGGGGGGGGGGGGGAGTGGGAGTGCGGACGCCACGCAGCTGCAGCGCAGGGAAGTGTCTGCAGGGCCGGGAAACAACTTTGGAGTTCCAGGGAGACGCGTGCCGGTCCCGGGCCAGGCCGCCCCGCTCCTGTGCTTGGCCCCCTCCCCACACCGCCGCTACCAAGCCGCGGGGCACCCGCACCCTCAGGCTCCTCCGGCACCGCTCCCGCCCGCAGGGCGCCGGCCAGCCCCTAGACGGCGACAGGCGGGCCCTCGAGGGAGCAGGCAGGGCCGGCGGTGCCCGCCCGGCGTCCGGCCTTACCTGTCAGGGGGCGAGGGCGGCGGGTCCCCCCCGGGGGATCGGGGGAGCAGGCAGGGGGAGCCCACTGCGCCGTGGGGGCCGCCGCCCTCGGGTTCCGCCACCGTCCCTGAGGCGCGCGGCACACCGGGCAGCGGGGCGGCCATCGGCGCCGGCGACGTCCTGGCTGGGCGGCCGCCCGCGCGGGAGGCACGTCGGCGAGCGGCCCCGGCGCTGCCGGGCGTGTCGGGCGGAGGCTGCTCTCCGCTCCCGCTGCGAAGGGGGGAGGTGGCGGGGAGCGAGGGGAAGCGCCGCCCGGGCGGAGAACGGCACCGAACGCCTTCCCCGGCACACGTGCGCGGGCGGGGGCGGGCGGCCGCCGGCACCACGCTGTGGCGGGCGGGGGCCGAGCCGTGCCCTTTCGGCTGCCGCCGCCGCGCCGGGGCGGGAGGTGCCTTGCGCTCCGCTCCCTGGCCGCACAGCGGGGCGGGCCCCGGCAGGTGCGCGGCTCCCCCTCCCTCATCCCGGGACTCGAGGACGCGGTGTCACCCGACCCGTTCGGAGCGTCGAGCCTGGCCTGACAGAGCGCCAGGGCGGCCGAGGTCGGGGAGCGCTGCCCCTTGACTGCTCAGGAGTTGGCTTGGGCCTGGCCGGTAACCTTCTGCCGGGCTGGGCCGGCCCCTGGCGCACGGGCGCGCATCGGGGCCCGGACGCGCACTGCCTGAGGGGCCTGGCGCTTGTTTAAGCGCCTGACAAATCATTAATGAAGCTACCCCATCCTTCTGTGAGGTCGGGGATTTATGGTTATGCCTTAGAGAAATAAGGAATGAACAAGGCCGGAGGACAGACCCATACGTTTGTGCCGAACAAGCAGCTCTCGGCGGGAGGCTGGGTTCCCAGTCGGGCCCAGCGATCGCGTTCAGCCTCAGCTCCAATGAGAGAGGAAAGTGGTTTGCCGTTGTGCCTTGGGCTCCTTCACAGCAGCCTGCACCGCTGAAGAAGCCAGCTCCTGTCCTTCTTTATGTACACAGAATCCTACGTAGCAATTCCGTGGCCACCCTTATGGGCATTCTTGCCATTGAAAAATAAAATTACCCCCTCACTGGATGGAGAATAGTTTGATAGCACCAAACAGAGTGGGTAAAAGTGTGTAAATCAGCCAGTTTGTTAGAAAGTCAAACAGTTAAAGTCCAGCCTCTGGCAAAAACAGCTGAAGGTAGACGCCTTCTGATTGTACTTTAGCGTGCTCAGGGCCAATAGCTGTGAAGTCAGACTGGTGAAAATACGTGGGATGTGTGCTTTGATGTTTTCCTGAAGCCACCGAAGAAATAGTGACACACATGCCAAAATTTCAATTCTGAAAAAATATTTTTCTGATTCAGAAACAATACAGTTTTCATTTTGGCTGAGTCACAGATGATTTTGCAGGACGCTTATTTTCACTGAAATGAAGGATTCCTTCTCTGAACAGCTCATTCTCTGTTACACTGGCAGCAGCAATGCAAGCTCAAGTTGATTAACAATTCTTACATACAGAGACTGGCAAACATCTGGGATATTACATTGTCAGATGATTGATTGGATTTGCTCACTGTTTGTGAACAGCTATGATTTTACACAACTGCACAGATCAGACCACTATTTTTTGACCAATTGATTCACTGTCATAAACGTGGCATGTCAAACCTCGCTGTCTTCAAAAGAATGGAAGGAAGGAGAGCTGGTCTGGGTGCTCTAGGTAGAAAACTGAGGTCAGGAAGAGACAAAAACCTTCAAGTGACAATTGTATGCTGATATTAATCAGCATTATAAAAGTTCAGCCATGAAAAGAAAATATGCTTTGACTTTTCACCCAGTCTGTGCAACTTGTTACATAGCTGCAACCTGACACACATGGTACATTTTTCTGTCTCTGGCTTAGTAATTTAATTGTTCTAAAATGGCAGGCAAAGAAAAAACACAATTAGAAAGCATATTAGCAAATAAATTAAATACTTCTATGTTTCAAAATAACTTTGCTAGGGTTCTAATGAATCATGACAGGAAAAACGCCACTTGTAAGATCAATAAGAAATGTAATACTATTATAATTTCATTTGGCTGTAGTAATTTAAGAAACTTTGTCTTAAAAACATTTTTTTTTCTTCTCATCATCTGTCCTGATGCTTGTTGCTTTCAGTACTTTCTGCGGAAATAGCATTATATGAGAAAAATAGTCATTGGGAAACTGAGGCAGGGAAAGACCTACACCGGCTGTTCCAGTGCAGCATTGGAAAGGTTGCATAGATGAGAATGCAAAGCTGAAGTTTCTCCTGACTTACTGTCTCTCTTTGCAAACAACTGCAAGGATATAAAAAATTGCCGGAGCTTGGCTAGATACCTGAGAGCGCTTGACCTAGACTCAATTCAGGTGTAACCCTTTTTAACTCTTCCTTTGAGCAAGTACAAACCCTGTAATCTCTGGACGATTAATAGTGTTGATACCAAAAGGCTAGCACCTTTCTTCTAAGCCCTGACACCAAAGTATTTGTTGAGCTGTGTCATTTGGCTTCCCTCTTGTCTTAAGTGCATCTAAGCTGCCTAGTCTGGTTTTTGATACTTGCTATGCTTCTGCAGCACAATGTTCCTTGTTCTAAGGCTTAACATTTCCCTGAAACTGATTTTCTGAGCATTCTTCAGTCGTTGACTGAGTAGTTTTGTTTTCTGTTTAATAAAGTTTGTTAGCCCTAATCATGTCCAGGTGTTTATCAGGTAAAATTAAAAATATATATTGTGGAAAACCCCAATGGATTCAAGGTATTCAGTATGCACCCCACTTCCAGGAAATCAAGCTCTCCAGGTCTCAAAAGCCTGTGCGCTATTTAGAACTGTGGCACTTGATTAATGTGGCAAAATTATGCTTTTAATTAGAGTAAACTTTCACAGTTATTACTGACAAAATGAAGGTTTAAAAAATTCAAACTCTCTGTGATTATCTATGAAAACTGGGGGGGGGGGGGGGGGGGGTGTTTATTTTTTATTTCACCCTTCCACACATCTCCCCTTGCTGTTATCAAGATGCCTTCAGTATGGTTTTATATGTATAATGGCTGCATAAAAAGCTTCACTGTAATTGCTCAATGATGGTTTCACTAAGAGAACTAATATCATACCTTTACACCATCTTCTGTCACAGCTTCAGTAGCCGTGAAAAGTTTTCTCCACTGAAGTACTAGACTGAAGCTACAGAAGTAGCTATTTTTTCCAGTGCAAGGCTATAATCAAGCCAAAGTCTGGTCTCCCAATGCATTCTCTACCAGCAGCCCAAAATAAATTGCATCAAATGTAATGATAAAAAGAATAACCTTAAGGGTTATTCTTATTTTTTCCCCTTAAGGGAAAAAAATAAACCCCAAAACTTATTTGTCCAGTAAAAAGGCATGCCCGAGACATAAGCCTGAATTTGTAATTCATGTCTTATTTATTATCTTAATGTTCATAGAAAATGTGGAACACACATATATGGTCCTGTTACAATGAGCTGTGCATCCTTTCTCCTTCTTGAGCATTTCAAATGCCCATTTTTAAATTCAAAACCTGACCCATCTCTTGGACAGTACCTCATGGCGGGGGGGGGGGGGGGGGCAAATTTCTCTAATAAACATAAGTAGAGGCATCACTAGCTAGCTTCTTTGCAATAGTGCATAACTCTTTGAAAATTACCTATGATTGAATGTTTTGTGAGGATTCTTGCCTGTTTTTGTAGCTCACAGTTTAAATTACTGTTAAAATGTGTATCTTTGTTGAAGATAAGGTTCCAAAGGATTAAATCAGTTACACTAGTCTCAGTCATTTCCAGAAGCTGCTTTTCAACCTAATCTGAAACTCCCTCTGCGTGTACTTACCCAAACCACAGCACAGTAATACTCTGGTGTTTCCCCCAACTTAATTTTCCTTTTATGCACTTAGTATCAAGAAGCATATTTGCACTGTTTTCTCCTGTTGTTTGGTTTGGGCTTGGGAATTTTTACCTGACAAAAAGCATGAAAACTTTAGCATACTTTGGTAAGAAAATTGAGTAGCGGGATGGATTTTATTGCTAGCTTTGACAAAAGTGTTTGCTATTTCAATAGCAAGTTCTGTGATTCCCTGTGTCAGCTTTGTCCTCTGCCCAGAATATCTCCCTGCTGGAATTTTGCCTTGAACTGTAACACAAGCACAGAAATTCTGTGCAGGGTTTTAGAATAAGAATGATACCTTAAAATCAATCAAATCAAATCAAGAGCTTATGATTTCTGAAAGGTCACTGTAGCTAAAACCAAATAATTAGGTTCAGCGTAGGGTTGACTGAATGGCATAAAGGGATTGTGAGATGCAGGTCAGACAGTGTGACATACTGGCTTCTGCTCCCTTGCACTAAGGCTGCATGAAATCAGTCATTCAGCAGCATCTGTAATAAACTGTGCATCAAGTGATGCGATCTGCATTGGCCAACCTTGAACTTCTATAAGGCACAAAGCTCCTTCCTAGAGAGAACTGTAATAGTCCAGGGTGAATATTACACATGTATGGATTGCAGTGGCTAGTCTTCATCTAATGGGTCTAAATCTACTGGACTAGATGTAATCTGCTTGGTAGATATGGATGAATGAACTGCATAATATACAGCTGCAGTTATTTATGAAAACGAATTGACAAGTCTCTGGGAACTGATTTAGCATTGCCAAACATTTGTAATGATCGTATTGTAATGGAAGAAACATTTTTCTTTTAATACATTTCTCTGTTCTTATTAATACCTTGTAAATATTTGTGATAATTAATGTTTTATTAGTTCCTCTGAAATAACTACTGTGAAGAGTGGCCAACTTTAAACATCACAGAAGTGATAAAATATTTAGGTGAATTAAACAGGTGGTGTTTCACAACAGCAGAGTACTGCTGATATTTTTTACAGTACTTTTTCTGGAACTCCGCCTTACACAAAGAACATAATTTCTGACCTTATACACCTTCAGAATACTGCACACAAACAAGTAATTATTATGGAGGGAAGGGTGCAGGAGATTATGCTATCTGGTACTCATTGTGTTTATCCAGCATGTAGAAGTTCAGTTTCCGTAATGTGAGTTGCTGGGAAATCAGATTCAAGAGCCTTTAACACTAGCCATTTTGTAGAGTGGGAAAAAAAAATACAAGCATAAAAACAAAACAAAACTCAACAAGAAATGTAGAGCTAAAATGACTTCTCACAAACAGCCACACCACTCGCAAGTCTCAGCTATTTCTGAGCTGTTGCAAAGGATAATAATACCAGACAAAGGACAGTAAGAGTCTCCAGATACATGCAAAGAGGAAGAGAGATATAGTTATTTTGGGCAAAAAGAAACAACATACCTAGTCAGAATCAAGACAGCAGCATTCCATTTTTCTTATCAGAGTACAAAGCTGATACATGAAATTTAAAGATTAAATGAATTCTGTATTTTGAAAAATTGAGATTTATTTTATTTTGCAGAGATTTATTTGCCTAAATGTGGGCATCTAATACTAATTTAGATACCTATTCTACCATAACCTAAGAAGTGTGTTTCCTGTTCATTCTGTGTCACACAGGACAGCCGAGTGCGGATGTTTCAGATATCCTTGAACATAGCACCAGAAAAATAGCACCAGACACTTGTATTTAGGTGCCTGAATTTCATTCATATTGTCTCTTTTCTGCTGCTGCAACGTACGGTTCACAATTGACTATCCATGACTTTAGGAAACAAAATGAAAAGTCTAGTAATTTCAGACATACTGCATTGTGAAACTGGGTTTTGGAAGCTTTCATCTAAGGAGGTTTTTCTCTAATTCTGGGAATAATAAGAAATTTAAAAT